TTTTGCAATTACAAGAAGAGTCTTATTTACTTGTATTTCTCAATTTGTAACGATTTCTGTATTTTAATACGCGAAATCCGTTGAACAATTACAGAAATGAATACTTCTTTCATATTTTTTTAAAGGAGAAATGAAAAAAATTGATATGCATTGATCTTAAAAAAAAAACTAACGAAAAAATGTAGAATTTGATCTTAGATTACAAAGCTCAATTATCATCAGAATCTTGATCAAGGATGTATAAATATGGAACTGCAGGTTCATGTTCAGGCGTTTCATCTGTCTCCTCCTCGCTTATTTCTGGGATTTTCCAATGTAAATGTTTGATATAAACTCTGTCAAAGGCGTCGATTTTGAGCCCTGATGCCAGAAATAGTTCTAACTCATTCACAAACCTATCTGATCTACCCACCAAGAAAGGTTCTACTGCCTGAAAAACCAACAATTTGAACTCTTCTCGCTTCGTCGCAGGAGAAATATTTGAATGTTTCACCTCATCTCTGCAACATTTTAAATACATGAAATGCTAAACTATTATCCCCCTACTTCAATTGGTATATATACAAGAAATCTTTTTGATTTTTCCAGTCAAATGACAAATGTAGCGTAAAGAGTAAAACAAGTATTTTACTTCAAACTGATATGCAAATTGTATGCTGATAAGCTTCAAATTATTATATTCGTGCTATATCTTTTAAGGTAGAATATGAATATAGCAAGGATATTACCTTCTGAAAGAGTCGATCACACCAAGTACATGATGAACTATAATATCTACATCTTCCTCCTGCATGTGAATCAGAGAAAGAATTTTTAAAACCGATGTATTCCGGGATTGAAAGGGTTCCACCAACAAGGCACCAAATCGTAGTCACTATTCGTGATGACTCGGTTGCAAAGGCAAAAGCATTTCAGTTTTCAATTCTTGACAAGGAACATCATACGTTATTGGGTAAAATCAAGCTACTAGATGAATAATTGCCGAATTTCCAAAATTTAGTTAAAAATAAAATAAAAATCTTGAAAGATCTGCACCACCTAAAGAAGGAAAAAATGAAACTTAGCAATCTACACCAATGAATAAATTTCCCATGGCTTTGAACAAAAGGACCATAGTTGTTCATAAGAGTAGAAAGGACTTCTCATCTTTGCATATGCCTGAGGACCAGGGGATGGACAAGTTCAGGGTGAAAAGATTTATGACTATTTAGAGGTTCAATTTTATTAAGGAAAACTACTTAAAATTACTTGATGTAACCATTTAGATGTAAACATGCATATATGCAATAGATTGTCCTTGAGGCTTGAATAATGACTTCCAAATTCAATCAATCCCCTATAAAACAATTTTGGTAGAAAGCACACTGCTGAAAAGTGAAAAGAAAAAGGATAGAAACAATTGAACCTGAGTTACAGCCTGAATTTCCCTTCTCAACCAGTCATGTAGCCAATGATTCTGCTGACGATACTTGAGCGACTTCCAGTAGCTTGACACGTTTAATTTATCAGCTAAATTTCCTGTCAACTCATAATTACGGAAAATAGATCAGAAAAATTGGGTATATTAAGTAGCCTAATAAGAAAGGCAACTATGTCAAATCAAATGAGTAGTAAAATACCTGGTTCAGTGTAGTAGCATTTCAATCTATACCGGTGAGCTTCTGAAAAGAACTCACTGAAGAGTTTATGAATAAAACACAACTTAAAAATAAAAATAAAAATAAAAAATAATAATAATAAAAAATGCAGAAGTGGGGGAAGATATCTGTTTTCAGATAAGGCCACAAGATAGAGGACAATGTGTAGAGAGCTACAATACCTATTCCTTAAATCCCTATTAATATAATGCTGTTGAAATGAACTTCCATCATATCCATATATGATAGATAAGTTTTCAGTCTGCAATCAGATGAATAAAAGTCTTAATTTGATAAGAGAACTTGCTCAAAAGGAGCAGAGAAACTATAAACAAATTATATACTATTGAATGTTAATCCTACAATTGAGACAAATTCTCACTTTTTGGGGGGTATAGAAGTGAATCAGCAACCCAGAAGTGAATTCATGATCCATTTTTTTTCAACTTGAATTCGTATTATTACACGTTACCCTCCTTTTAATCAATAAATATATCACGGAGCATTTCACCAATTGGTATATCATTTATGTCTTTATGAAAGTTGGCACGTTCTTAAGACCATTTGGCAAAAGGAAAGGTGGACATTAGTGTACCAGAGGGGTTCGGACATCAAATGTAATGTTAGAAACAAGAGAATGATTTGAAATCCCTTTGGTAGATAGATAACAATATTGTATATTCTTAAGTTTATAATCCGTGTTCTAAAAAGTGTAAAACATAACAAAAAGACAAGGCCGAACATCAACCTACTACAAGCAAGCTGGCTTAGACAAAGGCGAGGGTTGAAAAAACGTAAAGTGTGACTAGGCAGCTAGGCCAAGCTTCGCGCCTAAGCACATTTTTTAGAACATTGTTAATAGTTTTTTTATTTCACTCTCTATTGGACTATTTTATGTTTATTTATTTGCTTACATTACTTTTGTTGGGTCGTTTATATATTCCAATCATTCATGAAAATGTGCATATACAAGATGTCACATCTCAGTCATATTTTGGCCTAATTTTTAAAGAATATTGTGTCCTCATTCTGTCACGTCATATAGCTACGTCCATATTACAAAACATGTTTGTGATCCGTGGGCTAGGAAGTATTATTTACAGTACTGTTAGGAAGATAAATATAATTTAGTTATTAATTGACAGACATCATAATCAAAAACAATTAAGTTTCCTAATTCCAGGAACCAAGATAAATCTATGCCCTTGTTTGACATCCATTTTTTTTCTCATTCTTATTCTCATTTTTTTCTCTTTCTTCATTTCAACCACACATTCTATCACTAAAATAATATTACACATAAACCCAAAAATTCTCCTTACTTTTTAACCACACATTCTTCCATCAATCACTATTCAAAATTAAATTCTTCCATAAAATGGGTGTCAAACAAGGCTTATACCACAAGTAGCTCCTCCCATCCCCTAAAGGTCCTACTAAATGAAAAAAAGGAAGCCCTTCTGATTCTGTATGAGCTTATTGTTATAAGAACCATAGGTGAACTTCCATCGCATTTATTAAATACCCTCAATTTATGGATAATGGAGAAGTGGAAAGAAGGAGCTAATTTGTTCAAAATTTTTAAGCCCATTCAAGGCCAAAATTATTTATCAGCGAAGTTGCAATGCCTACAACAAAAGATAAGATAATGATTTCAGCTTCATCAACTTAAATTTACATTAGATGAAACAAAAAATGATAAAGCTAACCTTGCACAGAGGACACTTCAAGGATGAAGGTCCAGGAGAGTGCTTGCTAGCGATTGTATTAGTCCATCGTACAATGCAATTAAAGCAAAATTTATCTGCAAGATGATGCATAAATGATTCTTCAGATGCTACATAATTCATGTTTTCATTCTAGGACATGTATCTTCCAATATTTATGTAAACCAACACTTAAACCTGTAAATGCCACCTTACACCCAGCCATACAGAAGATCTGGGGACACATTGAACAACTCATATTTAGCTAAATGTGAAAACTCTTCGACTCCTATCTACAGATAGGTAAGCTATTAAACCTTCACTAAGAGTTAGTACATAGGACTTCAACAAACATCAAGACATGCAGGGTAATATTTATTATTTTAAGGGTTTGATAGGTGGACTGTTCCAAATTCTATCAGTCATCAAAGCTGATGATAGTTGCTAAATTGTAGGACTTTCTCTTGGTCTGCAGTTTCATTTCTTTCTGTTTTCCGCTTAGAAAGTTCCTGTTCTGATGCAATTTGGTTCTATGTTTATATGACGGAGCTGGTTGCATCTTCAAATACTTAGTCACTAGTTGGAGGTTTTGGAAGACTGGAAGGATATTTTTCTTCGTTTGTGGTCTCAAATCAGATTAAATGTATTATTGATTAAAAACTCATTAGTGAATGCTTATCATTTTGTATTGTGCTTATCATTGCTAAACCCAGTTCTCTACTAGTAGGTAATGGGAAGTGGGATACTCCATGTAAGTGCCAGCATAGAATAAATCTTCTTCTATTTGTTCCTACAAACAGAGTTGTTCCATTTTTCACCAAAAGGACAAAATAAATAGTTTGACAAACCATTTCAACTGAAAGTAAAATGTTTAAAGCTCCTTTACAACTCTTTAACTTGTTTCAATGTTTGCTTTAACATTATCAACAGAATCGAGCATCATTCCACCACAGTACACCTCTAAAAGAAACAATGCGGTTCTATATTAGTTTATTAACACTGTGGAAACTTAAACCAATCTTATATTAAAAAGAATAGAAGGACTCATAGGACAATAAGGGCACTCCAGGTAAGGAAGTATATTGTAACATGAAGGCTTAGTTCAGATCCTCGATTTCACTGAAAAAGGGGGGGAAGATCTTGATTTTCCTCTCGTATCCAAATAAATATACGAAATCAAATAAGCTGACATCACAAGGAAAGAAACTGATGTATCACTGTTCAAAATCATCCTTTTTCCTAGTCTCTATATTCATTCTAGTCATAACCAAACATGACAAGTGGTGTTCTCACCTGTTTTCTTCCTAGAAGTTCAGGATCCGAACAAAATGCTACAACTAATTATTTATTGCAACAAGTCAATTATCCATGATAAAAAAATATATATTGTGCACTGAAGTAGGAATATTTATGACATATTCAGAAAATTTAGAAAAATACTTTATTTCAAGTACAAAAGGTCTTTCCTGATTAAACTAGCCGGTTTCCAAATCAAGATTTTATGTTGACAAATGTGGTCATTGTGATAAAGAAGCTTATAGAACGCTTACCAAAGTGCATCTCACCACTTTCGAGCAAGTTCCAGTCCAAATATTTTCTAAAAGTTTTAGTTCTTTCTTCAACTTTACCAGTACATCGATACTTGTCTTTGAAAGTACAGATGTCAATATATAATACTGACCTGACAACCACCAATCTAACCAGAAAAACTCGAAGAAGCCACACTATTTTCAGACAGAGTAACCACAATTTTAAGCAAAGTCAATACCAAAAAATGACAATCATGCATATGCATCACGTTGCACCATATCAGTTCTAACCGAAGTATTTTTCACCAATCAGTTTCAAAAATTAAAGCCACAAACCAAATTCATGCAACGAATAAGATTCCTGCAATCAATAACACATACACATGCATCCACACATATATAAGACTTTGAGCCGAAAAATGCCTCAAGCCTGATTTTTCCTACAGTAGAGCTCAAGAAGAGCTTTCAGAGCATCTGCTGTGGATTGCATAGCTCCTTGAGGATCAAAAGTTACGCCAGTTTGAAGTTTGCCCTCCATTTGGACTTTGAGACACTCCAAAAACTTGCTACGCTATTTCAAGTTGGGTAAAGCTATTTGTACCCTGGTGTTTACAAGCCAGGGTACACGGCCCCACTCCCCCCCCCCCCCCCCCCCCATTGTGAGGGGGGGCACGGGGTCGGGTACACGGGCGTGTAACCATAGCATGGTCCCTTCAAGTTTAATGGAAGTCAAAGTGTTCTGCAAGCCTTGGCCCTCTAATTTCACAAGTGATAAAGATGATTTTGAAACAGATGAAGAGTTTGAGTAGGGAAAAAATTTTGAGCGAGGAGCTTGGGTTGGACCCAAAAGATGTGCCCAATGGTTCTTTGCAAATGTACGAAGAGAAGAAAAAACTAACGAAAAGAACTCAAAGAAAAAGCGTGTCCCCGTAGATATGACCCAAGTGGAAGGTGTTGATGTGACCTCGTGCCTATACAAAATTTCACTCCTATACAGGAACGCCAAACGGAAAGCACACCTATTCCATTGCCAAATGTTCTAGATATGAGGTTGATCAGTCCTCATGAAAGGTCATCAGAAGTTAAACCTCCAGCTACAGAACAAGAGGCCAACATAGTCAGAATCTTTTGTTCAGGCTCTTTTGGGTTTCTTCTCTTTTCTCGGCATTATTCCATGTGATTTGTATTTCACAACAAGGATACATATTATTTCTTCTTCTTTCAATAGCATAATTTCATTTCCCATCAAATATTCATTATTGTCAAGGATGCTAGAATCTGATCAGATGGTTGCTTTCTGCTAAATATGCTTACAGATTGGCTCATTATAGTGATCATTTAATATTAATCAAACTTGGAGGTAACTTTCTAAAATCATAATTTCCAAAAAACTGAGTTTTGGGCTTATACGCACTGTAAAATCCTTGCAAACTTTAAGAACTAGACAAATGATTGACTATGACACTAGAAAGAGAAAAATTCCAGGATGGGTACTAGGGACTGCATAATAAGTCTGGCTCACCATCCATGATACCTCATTTGTAACTTTAATTTTTCTGTGAACACTTTGTACCAAAAAGGGCCAGTTCTACACCCTTAGATTCATATTAACTGCAATCCTTGGTGCACCCATTGGTCTACCACCTTCCAATGTAGGTATAAGCTGGACCCTAAGGCATTGACAGTGGGAGGAAATAGTGGCACTACAGAAGTTTGAGGTTCAAACAGGATTTATCAGGATGGATGCTTGGTCCTTGATGAAAGACTCCTCTGTGAAAGTGCATGTAGGTGAGTTATCATTCAAACTTCTCAAGGTTTTAATCCCTGGAAAACAGCCTCAGGAAGTTGTAGTTAAATGTCGATGGGGCCACATTATCGTTGCAGAGTAGATCCAATTTTGATTATTCCAGGTAGCAATATATATAGCTTATGATTACCAAACCTTATCCTGAAGGCTTTAGCTCAGTCACATTGATTAGAAGCAAGAGAATTCATCCATTGACAGTCTTACAAGTCTTGGTCACTTCAACATGATATGTTAGAAGTTGAGACGATCTACCATGAGCAAGAAACTTACTCAGGGAGTGTTCAGCGGTGTTAAATTAAAATTCAGGCCTGCATGAGGACAACAAAAACAATAATAGCCAAGAAACACGTAATGCTCAACTCATGAATCCTGCATTGAACTCCATCATTGATGGCCACTTTTTACTAATTTAATTTCTTCTGCTCATGTGCTTTCACTTCTTTTCCAGTAATACAGTATTTGAATCATTTTCATTTTACTTCGTCCAGATTTGACAAGAACTCAGAAGGGTGGTTTTAATTCAAATTTATTTAAAATTTAATCGAATAATCTTGTTACTTACAATATAAAAAATCAATACTCAATCTTATTTTCATATTCTCTCTCTCATTGTAGCATATCCCTTCAATTATTATTATTTTTCTAATTTCATCAACTAATTCTAGATGATAATTATTCGGCGTTATCCCTAGCAAGCCATACTGCTCTGTATGTGTCCACCACAAAAGGTCGTGCTTCTTAGTTCTATACATGTCCTCGGCCGCAATTCATCATCAGTGAATTACCCATAGATTAAGCAATCAGAATAAAAGCCCAGAATCCAACGCGAAGGCCAATAAATAAACAATGCAAGATGATCAGTTTCACAAATAGACAGAGCATCTCAGCACCTATACTTCAAACCAAAAAATATTCTCAATAAATAAAAGTGGTAAAGAAAGACGGAACTCACGAAAACATTGGTCCAAGTAGGAATCTTGAGTTATTGGTCCTAAGCAAATAGGACATGGATTCGGGTCGGAGGAGGAACCTTTTATGGGTTCTACCAAGCTTCTTTCATCTTCAGCCATCGGTAGCCAGAGGGGGAGGTACTGTGGATTTAACTCGTATTCGTACTTTCTAATTAGTGATATTAACCAACCAGTCCTTAAACTTCTGCACACGTTTCAAATTTAGCATTAAACTCGAAAAAGTTTTAAATTGATCCTTCACATCCATCCTTTTGTCAACGTGGATTTTGAAAATTTATAAAAAGATAAAGTTATGGAGCCTTTATTGAGCTTCTAATTTGAAGGAGAATTGTTTTTAGTAAACCATTGGCATTCATGGGTAGGACGGTATGAAATTGAGAAAACAAAATACATATTTGGTATGTTAAGCCCATCGATAGTCATTATTGAGAAAAAAAATGATGTTTTGAATAATATTTTTTTAAAATATGTGATTAAAAAGTGAGAAATTTTCAATTTACGTGCAAAATATTATATCGTGTGCATGTGTAGTTAAAAATTAGAATTTTGTTTTAAACATGAGCAAAAACAAAAACGTGACATAAACATGTAGCAAATTAGATGTGTGATATAGTATTTCCACATTTGCCCTATTTTCCCAACCGTATCCACCTACTCCCTGCCCAAATGTAAAAGGCGAGTTGATCTGTAGAAACCTCTGTCTTATGCTTCTGCCTCCGATCGTCGGCGACGACTCCAGTTCAACACTACAGACATCTGAGTTACCTTTTTGGGTCCTTCATCTTTCTTCGCCTTCGTTAGACTATTACTACTACAGAGAGCGGCGAACTATTGGCTAATCTGCTTCATATTTCAACACGCGACTTCCCAACCACCGCTAATGGTCCGGTCCTAAATCATCATCCTTACCTCGCCTATGCCCTTTTCCCCAACCATATCCACCTATTCCCTTCCCAAATCGCAAAAATCGAGTGTTGATATGTAAAAACCTCCGTCTTCTACTTCTATCTTCAGTCGCCGATGACAACTCTGATTCAACACTTCAGGCATCTGAATTGCCTTTTTGTGTTCTTCATCTTCCTTCGTCTTCGTTCGACTACTACTGTAACAAGGAACAACGAACTAATAGCCGATCTACATTATATGTTCAACACGCTACTCTCTAACCGTCGTCATTGTCTGGTCCTAAATTGTCGTCCCCACCTCAACTGTCTCCCCAACAGACCCATCGTTCTCACATATCGATTTATATTCACATGCCACCGTCAAATCGCCTTTCTCGGCAACTAAAGGCACTAAAACCACAAGGATGAGTATGAATCGAGAATTAGGCAAATGACACCATGTTTCATTGCTGCAATAAGTAACAGGTTTCTATAAAACCATGGATCCCTTCTACACTTAGGGACTGCAATGCATCTCATATTGTATTTTATTTATTTTGTTGCTGCATCTAAACCGTATTTCTTCCCCCGTGCAGATGGATTACGTTCCACAACTCGCTTCTTCAAGTGCCCTTTAAAACCCAAACTAATCCTGCTCCCGAAAAAATGCGAGGTAGAACCCATTAGAGTGCAAGACCTTCATCGCTACTTGTGAAACTGCCATTGTCGAAAGTCATCGACACGGCAAGTGTTTCATGAAACACGGTTGGGACCGTGTTATTTTCTTTTCAACTCTACCTCCTACTACAATTGGAGCAAACAACAACTCTGAAACCATTGGGATGCAATGCGGCGGGAGAACAAATGTCTCACGGAATTGACCGGTTGCAGCGGGGTCGAATACAACCCTTGAACTAGCCAAATTGTAGAAGATGAGGATTGGTAGAGCAGTAAAATTAAGGTACTAATTTACGTTTGCAATTGTGTACTTCTAAATAACGGTCTGGTTCATTGATCATCAAGATTTCATGGATCGTAATTTCTGGGGATGTCTTTGTATCACATACGGGGTCGTCATATACGATCACTCATCCATATGTGATCTATCAATTTTTTATATTGATTTCATTTACGGATTTCATTGTGGCTTTTGGGAACGAGAACACAATAATCTTTATGTGCATAATGCGTTGTAAAACAGAGTCCGGGTTTAGGAACTATAAACTGTTGAACATGGGTCATGTTGTTTTGTTCACCAACTCTGGATTTGTTTGGGTTCTTGTCAGTTTTTCATCATTTACGGTGCATCAATACAGATATGTGAATGGATTGTGATGCAATTTTTTCCTGCTTTTGATATTGGCTAATATCACATTGTGTATTTCAAACAATTTTACAACCAATGTGTGGGCCAAATGTGAACGTGATTTTTGTTGTACACTGCCTTTTTTAACCCATGTGTGAGTTTAGCCAAACTACACTGTTTTTTTGGAGTTATTTCTATGTGCACTTGGACAGGCAACTAATTTAGATTTTTTTTTTCACTCGCGAATCTTTGCATCAATCACACACGTTTTACATTTATAGTAATGTCAATAATGGTGATTTGCACAACGCAAGGTAATGCATGTAATTGTGAATTCGAAACTACAATAATCATTTTAATTATCCGAAATTTATTATAGGATAACAAAATGTACAAGGATTATAAAAACAAAGATGTTAGTGAGATTTACATTCGATGTTGTCAACTGTTTGGAGACATTTCGACGGCGAAAAGAACGCAATCACCTTGACGAAATTGTGCAAAATGGGGTTCGATTTGTTTCAGGACATTGCGTTCGAAGATCATAGGGATACAACCCTGTAGATATTGAGAGTATAGAGTCTAATCATAAGGGAGTCGATGATAAAGGCAAATCAATCACGAATGTGTTCAACGCTCGAAGCGGTGACAAAAGAAAATCGATCACGAAGAAGCAAAAAGGAAAAAAAGAGAGAGAAAATTTCACCACGTAAATTTTCGTTCTTTGTTGATCACGTCAATAGTGCCGCCGAGGAAGTCACGAAAAAGATCAACATTATGGTTTCGTCTACAAACGACGATGCTTGCTTGTGTGGAAGAGTTGTTGGATGTTGGGATGTTCGTGCGCAAAACCCCGTTGTACTATTTCGCTTTTACGCTTTTGGTACGGAAGTGTTATTGGGATACACTCAGTGTCATAAGAGACGCGATCGAGAAATTTGAATGGATTGAGTGGCACTTCAATGAGCGTAACAAGGCTCCGTAGGAGTGAGATGTCGCATTGGAACCTTTTTTATTTTTTTCTAATACTATTGCATTGTAATTTCGTTTTCGGTTTTCATGGTAGACGAACTTGCTGGTAAGATTCTTAAATATTGGGAATCTTCAAACAAATTACGGGAAAAAAAGTATAACTACTCAATACTTTATATAGACAGCTATTTATTTTGGCCAACTTGCTGGTCATTGTCAATCAATGAAGCATGTACTTGGGAGTGAAATTTTTCTGTAAATGAGTTGATTTCCAACAAGTAATGAACATGTACGAAGTTTCACGATTCATAAACATCTTGTTGTAGTAGTACTAAAGTTTTTTCGTGTAGGAAAAATGATTTCAAATCTTATATTGTAATAGAAGAGGTGAACATCAATTGTCTGCTACTATCGATGCTCAGACTCTGATGAAGAAGTCGGTGACAAAGAGTACTTGAATGAGCTAGTGGATGATATAATGGATTGGGTTCGGTATTTTCAAATCGCAAAAAATGACGCGAGGAACTAATATCGCTAGCAACAGCATCGTATTCGAAGATTTCCCTTCTATGTTTATGTTGGAAGCAATGGAAGGAAATAGACAAATGTGCTATCAGGAGCTCCGAATGTATCCTAAGTATGTTACGTCATTTTGCACATATTTTTCGTGACAAATATAGCTTACGCAGTAACCTACAAGTTGACATATACGAACATGTAGTAATGTTCTTGTGTATATTAGCTCACGGAAGGGGTACAAGCAGGTGATGACGTTATTCAATCATTCTCTGCAAACGATGGTCACTATTTCAAATAGGTGCTTTGTATCATTCTTGTGTTCGCTATTCTTCTAATAAAATATGATCCAAATTATAATAACAGTGTTGAGCACCACAAGCCTGATCAGAACTAGCATCCATTTTTTCAAAATTGCGTTGGTGCTATTGACAAAACACATGTTAGAGCGGTGTTGCCATGTCTCGAGTACGTCAACTTCAAGTTTGTAAGGAAATACCAATGCAAAATGTCCTGGCCACATGTGATTTTAATCTATATTTCAAGTTTGTGCTTAGGGCTGTCTGTGAGTCGGTTCGATTCAATTCGATTCGGTTCGGTTCTGGAGAGAACCGAATCGATCCAAAACTTTCAGGTATTTAATAAATGGAACCGTCGGGTACAAATATAAAATACTTTGGCAAGTCCAAGCCAAGGCAAGTCAAGCCAAGCCAAGGCATGGTTTTAATTAAAAAAATTATAAATGTGCAACACTACATAAATACAATTAATGACATTTCATTCGTAACTTTTACAAATTAACATAACACTATTCAAAAACATATAAATAATTAACGGTCCAGTAAGATTAATTCAATACATACAAATACCAAAAAGTAGATATTAATATTACAGCAACACTACATAAAGTAAATTCAATTTCTTCAAGCAGTCTGTCTGCATAAAGAAAATGAAATATACATTAAAAGTTATAAAAATAAAATATTTTTAAGTATTGATAATGCTTACCAACTATTTGATTTAATCATTTGAACGCTTTAAATTTAATGAGCAAATTCGAATAGTCGTGTAGTCCTGAGCACATTAAAATGAGCTAATGGGCTTTAAAAATGATTCAGGCTTTAAAATTAAAAT